GCTCACGCGGACTGATGCAACAACTTGGCAATGTCTTTGGCTTTTTCAGACAGCGCTGCTGAGCAAATACGATGGGCAATCATTCACAAAAGCTGCGTGTATCCAGTTTCACAGCAAAGTTCAGCATTTTAAGTTTGGTAGAAGAACTTTAAAACAGAATGCTTCAATAAATACCTTATACATTAGCACCTTATATATCTGACAAAAAAAATGTTTGGGTTTTTGTTTTCCCACTTTCTTTTTATAGAGAATTAAATTCAAAAGGAGAAACAGGAGGAAGAGCTTACCAATCATGCAGTAACATGCCATCATCCTACTATACATACCAATTATTGTTTGAACTCTCATTTCATAGAAAACAAAGGACATGATTGTCAGGATGTCTCGCTGCCTTTTTAATAAGCAACTGAACTTTTCAAGAGATAAAAGATATTATATTTTATATGCAAATGAGTTTGTCTTTTTGTTTGTTTCCCACTGAATCAGATTCTGCTCATTTATCAAATGAGGAAGCAGCTTGCCAGCTTAATGCAAACAGTTCTTTAATGCATCAAAAGCACTGTCAAAAACACTTAAGATCTGTCTCACAGCAACTTTCTTTCAGTGAGACAATATTTATATTGTCTCAATATACACTTGGTAATTTACATAGCAGCTTACTGCTATGGAGAAAAAAAATCCTTAACCACTTAGACGCTGTTATCTGTGTTAGGAGACACTGCAGTGAAGCTGCAAATTATTCACTGATAAACCTGTGAAAGACATCAGAAAATACGTTCAGCTTCAAACGCTAGCCCTATCTGTTTGTCAATCAATCAATCAATCAATCAATCTTTATTTATAAAGCACTTTTCATACAAAAAGAAAAATGTAGCACAAAGTGCTTTACATAGTTAAAAGCAGCCCACCCCACCCTCCAACTCACTCCCCACACTCTCAATACACATATATCACCCCCCCCCCACCCACACACACACACACACGCGCACACTTAAAGAGTAAAAATTGGGCTGGGCTCGCATGAGCCAAGTGAGGAAACACTATAACAGGGAGCCGTCTGCACCGGGAGCCGGTCACAGACCGCAGCCTCCAGGCTGGGCACACAGCAGGAGGGAGGCAAAGGAGCCCCCCAGCCAGGCTGAGAGGACCCCCAGAGACCCAGCAGCCACAGTCGATCACAGCCCCGGTGCAGAGAGCGCCCTCTGAGGAAACACTGGAGATATGACACAATAGGATATATACAGGGTAAAATGATAAAATAAATAAGAACAGGATACAATATAAATATAAATATAAATAGAGTAAGAAGATTAAAAAATGAATAAGAATAAAATCAATAAATATTAGGTAAAGTCTAAATTAATAATAGAATAACAGGATAGAATAAATAAGCATAAAATAAATAAACGCTAAGTAAAAGCTAAATTAAAAAGGTGGGTCTTGAGCCTGTTCTTAAAAACATGTACGTTCTCTGCGGCCCTGAGCTCCTCCGGCAGGCTGTTCCACAGACGAGGACCATACCACTGAAAAGCTGCCTCTCCGTGAGTATGTGTCCTGACTTTAGGGACAATCAAAAGGCCAGTACCAGAGGACCTCAGGGTCCGCGAGGGTTCGTATGGTAAAAGCAGATCTGAGAGATAAGAAGGCCCAAGACCATTAAGACATTTAAAAACCAATAAAAGAACTTTAAAATCGATCCTGAAACACACGGGGAGCCAGTGCAGCGATTCTAAAACCGGTGTAATGTGGGCCCGCCCTCTGGTCTTCGTCAGCACACGAGCTGCCGAGTTTTGCAAGAGTTGTAAAGTTGAAATATTCTTCTTAGGAAGACCAGAGAGCAGGGCATTACAGTAATCAATGCGACTGGTAATAAAAGCATGCATCAGCATCTCCGTGTTGGCCCGAGAGAGAATAGGGCGGACTCTGGCTATATTTTTTAGATGATAAAATCCAATTTTGGTTACATGTTTAACATGTGGGATAAAACCAAGCTCAGAGTCAAAAATAACACCCAGGTTTTTCACTTGTAGCGAAGGACATAGTGAAAATGCCTCTAATTTAGACAAGAGTTTCTCTCTCTGAGCCTCAGGACCGACGATTAAAACTTCAGTTTTGTCCTGGTTAAGCTGTAAAAAGTTTTCTGCCATCCAAGATCGTATATCTAAGATACAGTTAAAAAGGGCATCCATTGGTCTGGTATGCACTTTCTATATGCTGGTCAGTCAGATCACTGAATTAATTTCCATTCATACTAGCCTGATCATGTATCACTCCAGACAGGAAGCAGATCAAAACTGAGGGGTTTTAAAAATCTGTATTGTATTTAGAGAAACCTACAAAGCAGACTGACAGCTCTTCATTGTGTCGTACTGCAAATTATACACTGAACAAAAAAAAAGGAATAAATAAGCCTAGCTGATGTAGGGGAGGTCACAATTTACCACAACTGAAGCCAAGACTAGACTAGAACGAAGAACCCACTTAAGAAATAGACCATGTAAAACTGATCAACATCAGTCTTTAAAAAAAAAAAACCCCAATACCCAATAAGAACTATAATGGGATGCCCATGCATGATAATATAGGCAGAGATCATAATCACTAACTCCTGATGCACACACAGGCCTTTTATTTTGGAAGCAAGCCTGAAATATGACAGAAACCGCTCAGTTCAGAAAAGAGAAACAAGAGTTACCCCTAGCAGGCATTTAAGGGGAAAATGTTAAGGTACTTAAGCCAGGCAACACCCACAATTGCTGTGCAAGCCATTTTGCAACCTACTACCATCCCTGCACCACCTTTCATTCTCAGGCAGTGTTGTATCTGTTCCCATTGATGCCTGTTCTGTTCTGTGTTGTCAGTCTTGCTGCGGCTCTCCTCACTACAAGATTTCAGTGCAGGGAGACAGATGCCTTCCTGGGCCCAGAAAGCCACACAGCCATGCCACCAAAAATAAATTAACAGATGGAAATATCAGCTTAAAACAAAAAAACAAACAAAAAAAAGTTAGGTGTCCCGACTGAAAGAAAGTAAACCATGAAAATGCATAAAAAATAACTTTAAAAAATGTTTTAAGGAATCCTTAAAATATACATATACTTCAATTATACATTATACATCAGGGGTCAGCAACCCTGGGCACGCGTGCCACAGTTGGCACGCGAAGGGTTAACTGATGGCACGACCATAGCTGGACTGGCCACCGATGATTTTTTATTATTTTTTTTGTAACAGTATAAACAATAAAAGATGGTGGATTGGCCAGATGCTGGCAGATGTGTAAAAATAACTCAGCTGTTTGGTGGTGGCTATGGCGGAGCTGCCACAAGAGGCCAGGTGGATGAGGGAAAGGTGAGGCAGGAGGAGGAGGAGAGACCCGAGGCGGCCACCGGTCCGAGTGTCAGGTGAACTGAACTTCAGGTAAGAAGTTATGACCTACAGTCTATCTGGGTCAGATATAAACCACGTTTAGGTGGAGTTTATTTTCGTTGTGCTGAGTTTTTACAATCAGTTACAATAACTCGTAAGGCGTACTAGCTAGCATCACGGAGTTTCTATACAGCTGGGTGAATGCTATGATTTTACTGATAGTGAACTTTATTTTATTCATAAGGTTTGTTAGTAGAGTTGCCAACCGTGCTGTAAAAATGGAATCGTCCCGTATTCAGAGAAAATATCACGCGTTTTGTATTGAGCTGAAAAGGAACACAGTTTGTCCCGTACTTCAGCTAGAATGGGGGGGAAGACACAAAGCTGGATTTATTCTGCTTTTTTACGGTGTCAGCTGCCTCTTCTTCTCTCATTCAATCTTGAAACTGATCAATGATCAGCTGATCGGTATTTCTGACGCAAGTCCCGTTTCTCCTTTGTTTATCGCCCACTTTGCGCCAGAAAGAGGAAACCAGCAGATGTCGCGCTAAACAACAGCAGCACGTTTAAGCTTGATCAGCTGTTGTTAGAATGTATTTAATACTAATTTCTAGTATCAGCTGATGTTTGCTGCAAACACAGCTGTAAAAGCTGCTGGTCATGATATCGGTTTGGATATGTGGTGAGAGGGAAACATGAAGATGAAACCAGGAGATGTCCTTACTGAATCATCAGAGCTGAACAAGTGATGGAGAAACAGGTTTACCTTTTAGGTGGCATGAATGAGTTGAAGGGAAGTTATGAACTGTTTCTGAGAGACAAATAACACCAGGATCCTTTTTTATGTAGCTGACAGCTGGTAACTGTGCAGGGGCGGGTCTAGCAAAGTTTTGCCAGGGGGGCCACGTAGCGCATTAACAGGGAAAGGGGGGCACAAAGAAATACTTTTCTTTCTTATTCTCATTTAAAATGTCTAGCTTTTATTAAATAATTATCTGAATTTACAACCAAAGTTTGTTATCTGATGTACAACGTATAGAAATGATACATATGTCAACAAGACGGTGTACATCACTGTCACAACAGCATTTGTTTTCATTCAAAGGCTTTATGGCTTTTCCTATAATACCTGTTGGGCCGGTCTTTAGTCAAAATGCCCGGGCTGATGTTTTTGTCCCAGTCCAGCCCTGGGCACGACATGCCGTGAATTAATCTGAGAGGGTGCATTAAAAAATAAATGGCCGGGCCAGCGGTGCACATCGCAAATTAGCTCGCATAGACACATTAGTTGTGCCGCGTCTTAATGATGGTATCTTAGCTAACAACCCCAACTACCAGATTCAACTTGTAATTGGCTAAAAATCACTTTGAGGGACGTTGATAGCTGGCAGTTTTTTTCAAGCGATGTTGAAATTTCCACATTCTGACACTTCAAATGTTTCATGAGCTCTCCGCTCAGCGCAGTAACTGTTAATATAGAGTGTTATTAAATTTATTGCTAATGCAATTATATGGCACATTGACTTCTGAGGAAATTTTAGATGGCACTCGTCACCAAAAAGGTTGCCTACCCCTGTTATACATATACTCCAACACAATTAGACCTTGTAGGTCATCTTCATTGACAATACCTGTGATGATCTTTAACAGGTGTAGAACTGGGTTTGTCCTTAAACAGATCCATTGTTAAACTGTCATCAGAACAGCCACTCAGCTCCCCCGTCACCCAGTCGGGCAGGCTTCTAACACCGTGCTCCACACTCAGGCTGCTCAGTGGCTCATCAAAGTAGATGGACTAGAAATTAAAATTAAGTACAAGGTTCAGAAGATGAAGGTTCGGTTGGCTAGTTATAAACTCTCTGTTTAAACAATCCACTGCAATAGTGCATATAAAGTACCAGTCAAAGGTTTGGACACACTCACTCATTGAAATCAATGGGTGACAGTTTTCAAACTTTTTGAAGTGGTTAAAACCAGTTGTCAGCACAGGAAAATATACGACTTGTTGAAGCAGTAACTCTTACCATGTATGTAGGAAGTGTTTTAAGACTTCCTGGCTCTGGTTTGCTGGTGAAAGGCCCATCCAGGACCCCTCTTTTGAGCATCTGAAGGAGCAAACGGGCATACATGTTGCGGTTCTTGCGACCAATCAGACCTGAACCACATGTGGCTGGGTCGCACAGCTTCTTTATCCATTGGGCACAGCGCTGACGCTCTGAGAAGACAAGGAGAGAAAGGATCACTAACCATGATGTAATAACTTTTTTTTTTGCAATAGCGTTTATACATCACTATTATATTTAATCATTAGTAATTATTCAACTTTGGTTCTCTCTCATTGCTTGCCTTTTGTCCTGTCTCTCGTCTTTCCCTTCAACCCCCAACTAGTTGCAGCTGGAGGCATCGTTCTTTTAAAAGGGAGGTTTTCCTTCCCACTACCAAGTGCTTGCTCACAGGGGACGGCTGATTGTTGGGGTTTCTTTTTTATATTGTAAGTCCTTTATATTACAATGTAAGCACCTTGAGGTGACTGCTGATATTAATTAGTGATGCATAAATAAAATGGAATTGAAAACTGAATGACATGACTAACATATCAGATACAGGGTAGTGTGGAGGCTATAGCCATTCACAGCTGTCATTCGGTGCAAATTCACAACAACAAAAGCGGGTTATGGGTTGTTAGTCTAGGGCTGTTTGTACTTGGGGTGACTGTGGCTCAGATATTATAAGCAGATTGTCTGGCGAGCTGATGGTAACTCTGTCATTCCACAGGTCGAAGACTCCTTGGAAGAAAAACTCAACCCTAGCTTTTACCTATGTCTAAATGCTTAAAGCATTCACACACATTCACACTTGTATGGATGCTTTAAAGCATTTAGACATAGATAAAAGCCCTGTATGACTGTGTGTGTTATTGGGTGACTGAGACTTGTAGTTGTAAGCACTTTGAGCAGAATTAAATTCAAAAGAATGACTATTCAAGTACCAATCCATTTACCATTTAAACCCGGTTTTGAAGCGTAATGCATAGGCAATAACGGCTCACCTGTCTTGCTTGGGTGTTTGAGGACATATGGCTTCATGTCCAGCAGAAAATGGTCAAACTCAGTGTCCAGTCTCTCCGATGACAGCTCATATTTGCTCATGGTGATCTATATGGAGTATGCAAGTGAAAAAAGACACTAACAACGAGTACGCTGTGCTGCTTTGTTGACAAACACTACATATATTAACATTAGTTAAACAGTGATCCAAAGCGGAAACCTTACGACACATGGCAGCATGCTAACATTAACTAAAATAACCAGCATATTTAAAAAACCCAAACTCTAATTATTAGCTACTTGACTGGGACTCGAGCAGTGCATTAGCAAACATGTTGCAAATACCGTTAGCCGAGCTAAAGCGAGCAAACGTAACGCTCGTCCTTTCCTCTCTTACGGTTTCGTTTGGCTTTCACGAGCAGAACGAGAACGTGCTAAAACAGGGCACACTGTTAGTGAACATGTAAAAACTTAACCAAAAAGCGGCGTTCCCCTGAGCACTGATTCCGCCGCTCAAAACGGTTCAAAACTTTAGCGTCCTCCAGCTACGCAACATCCGTTTTCCGCAGCCATGCAGCGTCTCCATGTTGCCATAGAAACACGTCTCCTTTGCGTCCGTAAACGTACATAAGTATGTGTACATATTTGTCCCTGGCATTTTACAGCTTAATAAGTTTATTCAATTATTTATATGCAGCTCGTGGTCTCTGGTTTGCTCACACCTTTATTTTCCAGCTTGTTTTAAGATACGTCTATAAAGTCTATTCTTAAAGGAGATTTTTTGCCTGTGGCATGAATGAAATATATATATATATATATATAAATATATTTTTATATTTATCACTTTTATACATGAGGCTGCTAGCTATATATATATATATTTTTTTTTTTTTTTTTTTTTTTTAAATAAACATCAGGCCGAGTGGTATCAAATGCAGTCAAATCTTTCTCCACTGTAGCCACGGATGTATCAGATCTAGTTCAAGTCCACACGATGGTGCTAAACGCCCGCAGTTTTATTTGCATTCAGTAAGCGATGGACGTTTCCTTCAAGTGATCCTCGTATGTTTTTCTTACTCCAGTGTAAAAAGGAGCAGAATAGTAAAGCCATTTCCTAGCTTTTTTTCTTTTGTTTTGTTTTTATTTAGCACTGGTGAAACTTTTCAGAATCCCAGCTGATGGTATAGAGTCGTTTCTAACAAGTACAGCAAATAAGGAAATAGTTGGGTGCTTGCAGAAAATCTAATCCATAGAGAGTGCACTTTGCGCATTCTTTTAGGGATAATTAAATATAGTTGACCCATTCTGATGTACCATTAGTGGGCATATGTTTGTACTTTGCTAGAAAATAAAAATGTCTTCCAACACATAAAATACACCTTTTGCTTCTTTAATTTCTTTGCATATATTATGCAAGAATCGCCTCTGATTAATCGTGCGCTGAACTTGGAGTGAAATATTCCCACGGTACGTGAAGGCGGGCTTCTCCGACGTCACTCCGAATGAAAAAGAAGCGCTCAGCTGTGGTCCAGGCAGAGGGAAGGCGTGCGGTCCGTCTACAGCAGGCAAAGCTCCAGCATTTGTCCAGAGCTGTGAAGAGACAGGGATAATCACTCAAAAGAAATCGGTCGGGACAACACAAACTTGATTGTGTAGTTTTTGTTTTTAATTTGGGGTTTTTCCTCCTCCCCCTTCCCCAATTATGGCTGACCATCTTTTACATTATAATGATTCAGCTGGGGTTGGGAACAGATTCGCCCGCAAAGGTGCTTTGCGGCAGAAAAACGTGCATGAAGTGAAAAACCACAAGTTTACTGCGAGATTTTTCAAGCAGCCGACGTTCTGCAGTCACTGTACAGACTTCATTTGGTAAGTGTCACTCATGCACACACACAGCGTAATATCCTCGGTCACTGCCATTTGCAGTGTTCAAGTTCAATGTACCTGTGGCATTTTGTAGTAAAGCTTTCATCGAATTTAATGCATGTCATTAATTAGTTTTAATCAATATGGAATAAAGCGAATCCAATTTGCTTAGCTTTCCCCGTCTTTTTGTTGCAGGGGCTTTGGGAAACAAGGATTTCAATGCCAAGGTAAACCACCTGCATGTCTGCACTGATGCATTTTTTGGTGGAGCCATAGACTCAGTATATAGGCACACACCCCTTAACTGACAGTCAGAATTTGCCTGAAGAGACAAGTTAAGCGCAATACAGCTACTTAAGCATTAGCAGTTGCGCAATAGTGATCGTTTGAGGTATAGTAGTATGAAGAGAATTTTTTTTTTTTTTTTTAAATATAAAAACAGCCTGGAAAGTAAACACTTTAAACATAAAAAGGTTTATTTTTGTCAAAGAGCACATCTGCAAGCAAGAAAGCAGAAGTTAGTATTTGCAGATCAGTAACTTGGAACTGTTTAGAGTATTTCAAACATTAAACATTTAGTTTTAATATCCTGGACAACCATTTCAATGGTCAGCATTTTCCAAGTTTTGTTTGAAATAAGCATGAGCATATTTTTGAGCGTACTCCCATGCCAAACAGTTCAGCGGGTTAGCTCTGTGCAGGCCGTTCGACACCTTCCATGCCATTGGGAGGATAATCCGGAGTGTATCTGGTTTTGCTTTGGACATACCTTCCTCTCTGGTAGCTGCTTCTGGACCGGACAATATATATCTTGAAGGATGTGGGTTATGAAAGATCGGTTGATAACCTCTTGACGGAGCCATGACACTCTGGTAAACCTTGACCCTTGAGGGAACCTGGACCCACGGGGGGCTGAACACTGCATTTTGTGGCCGGGGGAACATCTTATTAAATTTAAGCTTCCTGCCTCCAAAGAACTTTGAAAAAGCAGGAACCCCCCTCCAAGACTGAGAGAAAGGCTTGGCTCGTACGTTACTCGGAGAGGATGGCTTCACTGATGTGAAGGTTTGCCCACTTGCAGACCCCCTGCTCATGTAATCGGCTCGGTTGTATCCTTCGACATCATTAGTGCCAGGACCAGTACTTTGAGGCTGGGAGTTTTCAAAGGGATACCGAAATACTTCCTCAAACACAAGACTGGGTTTCTTTCTTGAACGATAGCTATATCCACTGGAGACTGTGCCGACGTCCTGGCCTGGGTAATCAAAACCTGAATCAGCCACCCCATTACCATTGCTCACTGGTTCAGGCTGCCAGGACTCATAGCTGCGAGGTGCCACAGCCTGAAAGGTTGAGGATGAAGCAGGCTCATAGTATGCAGTTTGACCAGTGCTTGTCGAGAGGGGCATAGTGCTTGTATAAAAAAAAAAAAAAAATGACGCAGAGCGAGGCATTACAGCAGCTAGTTTGGGCTTTGCTGGGTTAGCTACCTTAGAGCTGGACTTTCAAGGGAATAGGAGTGGCTCATTAAGGTTTACTAGCCCCCATTGTCTTGTCTCACCATTAACAAGTCCCTCTATCTTTGGTGCGATTTGTGGGTTCGCTTGTTTTTGTTGAGTCTGCTGCTGTTTAGTCGAGCGTTTGTTATAGCTTTTGTACACAAATCCAGCCTGCTGGTTACCCTGATCAGAGGTCAAAATGTCATCATCTCCATCATCCACTAGGTCACGTCGCTCTGCTTTATTTGGATACATATATCCATATCTATGCCCATAGCCTGTAAAGTGAGAGAAAGTTTATATAGAAACTGCAGAGTTTAGGCTTAATGTCAAAATTGAGAAAAGCAACTACCTTTTATAGTTGGTGAACCACCATTACTATCAAATAGTAAAGAAATACAGGAAACCCTGTAAGATAGCCAGACGATGCCATCAGATTAAAGTCTCATTTAGAGGTAACTGGAATAAATTGTGCTAACATCAACAAAACATACCAGAAAATGAGTCCAAGAGCCATGGCTGTTAGCTGAGAAGCAGTAACCTGTACTCCTCAGACAGTATGGCTTAAACGCAGGCAGATTAGATCTAGGACCTGAGTGCAACCTCTGTCCTGTACAATGCATCCCTCTGTGCTACTTTTCTATACCAGCACTCCAGTTCTTCATTAACAAAGACCACTTTCAGCTGCTGCTCACGTGGCAATTAGTGGTCAGGTTGTTAACAGGTGTGGCAGCTGAACAGCACCACCCTCTGTGTGGGTGTCAAACGTCACCCTTGTAAACATTTTTTCTTTTTCACTGACCGAGAACTTTGTGTCTCTTGAGTCAGGTTGCAATATATTCCCTGAAATCAACACCCCCGTGGCCCGCCGTCTTTGCCAGTTTTAGATTTCTCTCTTAGATATCCAACACTGTGGCAACAGGGCGATGAAGGAGGGAGACAAAGATATTACAGTAGGAGCAAAGTTTAATAGTTATTACAGGGGTCAAAGAAAACTTAAGTCACCAATTGGGTTGCTTAACAATAAAGAAAATAATACCAGGAGTCGACCAGTGGAGACATCAGCACACTCTGATGTAAGAAGTGCCCAGGCTGCTGTGCACTAAGCAGAGTGGCAATCTCTGCTTAGTGCAGTCATCCAACTATAGTACTAAAGTGTTGTAATGGCTCAATCAGTACCTCGGTGTTTAAGTACCTTATTTCCCAAGGGATTTACTGTAGCAGATGTTATTTTGGTGTAGATTTTACACCAGATGCCCTTCCTGGCAAAAACCCTCCCATTTATCCAGACTTGGGCCCGGCACTGGGAGCACACTAGCTTGTGACCCCTGAGGCTGGGTTTTGTGTCTCTGCCCTGCCTCAAACCATGGATCTTAATCACTGCACCACAGAATCACTTCCAGTACTCCTGGATGTAAATAACATAAGGATGAAAGAGTGGGGGGGAAAAAACGTCTGCAGTGATCAATGATAGAACATTTCATGTCTATTCAGTTAAACCGGCGTGATAATAAAATGAGCTGCGATGAATGGTTAAGTGTACCAACTTGAACATAGTTTTCATATCATGCATGTGTTGATATTTTTGCACCAAACTTACTGAGTCATTTTGCAGAGTCATGCAAGAAGATCTGCGTGCTCCTTGTCCTACATCTGCACAGCCACGCCTGACCTTTACATTTTCTAATCACTAACTCAGACGTCCCATTCCATTTTAAGAGGCTATAGTAGATGGGAATGTTATGTGCATGAACATTCATATATATATATACATGGTGTGCACGGGCTGAGCTGTCCGCTTGCAGTGCTAATTGTCAGTGAGGAGTAAATGCATCTTGGAGGAGGCTGACAGAAACACGTTCTCGGATGCAGAAAGACTGTGTTTTTGAAAGTGTCCAAGCGAGACAAGCTTTGCTTTTTGAGAACTAAAAATATGATGGTTATTACGTGGAACAGTAAAATGGACAGTTGAGATACATTTTTGTTCAAATATTGATTCCTTTAAGTTTTAAATCGAGGCACGAGTTCTTTTTTTCTCCCTTTGTTAGTGCAGACTCATGCACAGAGCTCCAGAAGGGAATCTCTGTGGAGCTGTTTCTCTGAGGCAGGCATGTAAAGTCACATACTTGTGCTCCTACAACACTGGCAGTCATTGTGATGCTTGTATCTATGCTGGCTAAAGGTGACATGTGTTACTGACATAGCACTCAGCCTCT